TTATTATTATTATTATTATTATTATTATTATTATTATTATTATTATTATTATTATTATTATTATCATTATCATTATTATTATTATTATTACTATTAATTTTAGTTATTATTATTTATAATTATTGTATATATCTATGAGAGAAGTGAGGGCTAAAATTATAATTTTATACATATAAGCACTTATGGGGAAAGTAGCTTACCAAACATTTCCACCACAATAAGTACTTAAAAACATAATAAGTGATTTGAAAAAGTGGGTTACAAAACAGCCTAAAGGGTTGTTAAAACAAGTACTTCTAATAAACAAGTACTTCTAATAAGTATTTTTTTCCGCAAGTACTTCTTTTAACAAGTACTTAATCATCAAACAGGGCCTAAATCCCATAATATCCAAAGACCACTAGGAAAACCCACAAACTCAACAATAAAATGATAATAAAAAGGGAGACACTCAATAATTGATTTCAAGTACATGGCATGTAAGATGGGACCAACCAGTCATGGTTACTTCCAACAAATGATATCTACCATCGGATATTTCTACTCCCATAGAGTTTTTCACCGAGACTTGAAATTAAAGAAATGGTTGCCCAGAAGAAATAACACTATTCTCTAGAGAAATGGTTGCCCAGAAAAGATAACGATGAAGTAGTGGCTATTTGACCATTGCAACAACTGAGAATAGGTGCAAATAAGGACTTCTACACTGAAGAAGATGGAGTGTTATATCGATTTTATCAGTTGAAACTTTCCATTAATTCTCAATGTAAAACTCACATTGGTTCTCATTTACACCGAAAACAAACACAGCCTAAATGTTATGAGATTTAAGTCAAAGAAATAAATCAACTTAAAACTTATTTACTTTTTAAGTTAATTAATTGAATAATTATGTAATTAATGACTTAATTATGTTATCGTTAATTAACTAAGTAGTTTAATACTTTAAAAGTAGTAAAAAAAGATTAGGAATGCTCATGGTTTGGTTATACTAGCCAAACACTAGTTTTTGAAAAGTTGTGAATTGAAACAGAATCAAAACCAATCGGTCAGCAAATTGATCAGTTCAGTTCTTCGATTTCTTGGTTTTTACATTTTCAATAAATATTATAAAAATATATAAATAATATATAATATTATAAATACTATAAATATATATAATATACTTGATTTACTGTAATATAAATAGATTATTAAAAATAGATAATTAAAAAATATAATATATATTTACATATAAATTTATATATAATATATAAATAATACAATATATATATATATATATATATAAATATATATACAAAGCTGAAAAAGGTCACTTCTACGGGTGATAATTGGGTTGACTCTCATTTGTTTTTAAATAGATAAATATTAAAATACAGCTATAGATATTTGTATTAATTAGTTGGATTGACCCTCGTGTTATTTTCCAAACCAAATCTTATTTAATAAGGCCATATTTTTATGGGAGATTAGAGAGAATAAAGGGGAGTTGGAGACAATTTAGAAGTTCCTATAAATTGAGAGTGTAAATAGGTGGAATTCTAGTGAAGGGAGAGGACAAAAAGGAATTAGAGATAATTTAGGCAGTGTTCTGTATCACGTTCATCTCGTATTTCGGTCCTGTTCCATCCACACCCCAATATATCGTAATGGAAAAAACTCATGGATATGTCTCCTCCACGGATTTTTTTTTATCACATGCTTTAAGGAACAGAGGTCAGAGGTTATGTGATTTAAGACAGACTGCTGATACACAAAGATATACCTTCAGTTTTACCTCTAAAATTCATGTAGTTGTATTTTGACTATATGGTCTAAAATATTAATTATTTTACTTAATTTTTTAATTTTTACAAATTTTTTATTTTTTATCGATAAAATAATATTTTTAAATATTTAAAATATATATTTTTAATTTTTTAATTATTTTACTATTGTTTTATAAAAAATCAATATTTATTGCGAGGTTTTTAAAACCAACCCGAAGAACAAACTGGTTAGGGGTCAAGTTCCTAGGTCAAACGGTTCGACTGTTCAAACCAAATGGTCATCCCATTCTAATAAAAAAATAAAAAAATAAAAAGCTATCAAAACCGTTGAATAGTTTGAATGATTCAACCACCTGGGTCAGCAGTTTGCTAACCAAATCGATGTTTTTTTTGCAAATTTCTGATTTTGGAGAAAAATGGAACCAGTCACCTGACCGGTTCCCAATTTTTCCAATCCAACCGTCCAATCCGGTCCAATTTTGAAAACCATGATTTATTGGTTAATATTAATTCATTAATGCATTTTCTAAAACATTTATCATATAAAATGCAAAAATTAGATATTTATGATTAACTATGTATATCATAAAATGCATATGAGATGCATGGAATCAAAAAAAGTGTGGTGTGGAGTCAATACCACGTTACAAAATGCCACTATGGGTGTGGACTAGTCCAATCGACACAATTTGTCCACAATTCAGGATAGTTGTTGGTTGTGGTGTGGTGTGGATTAGTCCTTGCCACAAGGTGTGGTGTGGACTAATCCGCACCCACCAATTTCTCATCCACACTACAAAACACCCCCTTACAGAGAATAATGAGCCTGTTTTCTTGGAGATACAATTGGAGAATATAGAGGGGAATTGAAGTATTTATTGGCTTGTAAAAATGGCATGCAACAAAAGATTCAAAACAAGGAAAGAAAAATAAACACTTCCTTGTTTTAGATACATAGATAGATAGATAGATTCCAAATAGGAAACCAAGTTAAGAGATTATAAGATCAGGCTTTGAACTTGAAGCAATGTTCCCAATAGGGCACCAAGTTGGGTTGTCCAATTTGAATAATTTCAACTATACTGAACATGGGTTAGGGTTATGTCCCATCCGAAATTTAACAAATCCCCAACCTAATCTAAATTGCACCCCCTAATTCTCAACAATCTCTATTTTGACTTGAATTTCATCAAGCAGCTACAAATCTTTTGTTTCCTTCATTGTTGAGATACGTGAAGCTGAGAAAAATTCCGACACTTTGAAACTGAATCGAAGATCATACTAGGAACAACATCATAATCCTCGACTTTCATATTAAATAAGTTTTCAGTATTGGAGAAAAATGTTATTGATGTGGTGATTCACTCCTTTATAATTTGCATTATCTTCAATAACAGGCAACTAGGAAAGACCTGCTACTGTTAGGTTGAGTATCATCTTATAACTCTTGACATCTACGTTTTTCAAACATTTTAGAAATCAAAAATCAAAAAACAATGTAGGAAAATTTCAAAAAAAAATGAAAAAAAGGAGAGAAAAGATAAATAAGGGAGGTTGCCAGCGTTGACAATCGCTTGATCCATAAGTGGTTAGCATATCAGAAGTAAGAAGGCAACAGATCGGATCAATCATTTGATCCATGATGATATCGAAAAGATACAGAGATAGAACTTCCATGCATTCATCCATTCAGGGAAAATGAAACCCTGGTGTTAATATAGGCATTCTTTGATCAGAAAAATGTGATATCCCTGGTAAACACTACGATATACCACTCTAATGTTATACATGAGTACTTTTACAATTTCCATTATTTGCAATATACTTTGTTTAGTCTGTGAGAGAGAATATAAGCCATAAATAAAGACTTCACTAACTTGAGCACATTGTTCCAGCATCTTCAACAGATCAATCCACCATAGAAGCTCAAAATGTGGAGCCATTGAACCCAAAGAATGAACGCTGTTAAAAGAAGGAAAGGTGAAAATCAATAACTATGGATTATAAATATAGTTCCCTATATTAGCATATAACTTGTGAGACAAATATAGGAATAGCTTGACTTGTTGCACACCAGTATAAGAAGTATGCTAAAATGTTTATTTCACAATTGATTACCCAAAAAAAAAAAGAATGTTTCTTTCCAAATAAGTAGAACAGGAGAGTAAAATTGCCCTGTCTTGACAAGCCCCGTAAGAACTATTGCTTCCATGTGGTGGTTTAAGCATCAGGAAGGTAAAACACTTCCAAATCTCCCTACTTGGCAAATGGTTATGGAGGTTTTTTGATGATCAAGATTCTCTTTGGAAGAAGATTATTATGGATAAATATGGTGTCCAAAACAATGGCTAGTATGCAAATATTCGAGAGATTTCTTATGGCCGTAGCTTATGGAGAGGTATTTGCAAAGCTTTTCCTCTCCTCAGGAGAAGAATAAAGCATAAGGTTGGGGATGGCAGAAGAGTTTGTTTTTGGAAGGATGCTTGGTGTGATGACGCTCAATTGGAAGAGTAATATCCTGAGCTACTCAGTCTAGCTTGCAACAAGGATGCAATGGTTGCAGACTTGTATACTTTTGTTGGAGACACTCTTCTGTGGACTCATGTTTTAGGAGAAATTTCAATGATTGGGAATTGGAGAAAATCTCTGACCTGCTGTTTTGATTGAGAATCAGAACTGCAGAGGGACTTTAGAATTTGGAAATTGCACAGCTATGGTAAGTTTTCAGTAAAATCTTTCTACAAGAAATTATCTCAGGGAGACTCGGGTTCTTTTCCTTACAAGGAGATATGGGGCACTATGGCACCCTCAAAGGTCGAGTTTTTTACTTGGTTGGTGGTTCTGGACAAATGGCAAACTAAAGATTACTTATTGAGAAGGGGATTGAAATTGACACTGGAGAAAATTGATTGTGTCCTTTGTGAAGAGCAGCTCAAGCCTACTAGACACTTTTTCATTCAATGTAAATTCACTAGCAGATTATGGACTCATTTTCAAAGTACAATTCAGTGGCAAGGTTAACATCCTAATTCTGTGGTGAACTTCGGGGCAGGTGGCACATTCAAAATATGAGCAGGAAAGGCAGGTCAGCTTGGGCAGTGATTCCACTAGCCATTTTGTGGGCTACTTGGATGGAAAGAAATGCTTGGATTTTTGAGAGCAAGAAAGTCCAGTGAAATCTGTAATTAATTCTGCTTTTAGTCTGAGGGATTTCAGCTGATCCTTTTTGTCTATAGACTTTTTTTATTATCATCTTGTGATCTAATGTACAGAATTTCATTGTACAATGGTTTATAGTGATTCTTAACACAATACTTTACATTACCTTTCTTTTTTTAGAAAAAAAAAAAGCCATTGCTTCAACTGATATACCAAACTTTCTTCATTACAATGCTGTTTCTATTAACTAAAAAACCAAACCTCTAAAGTTGGAGAAGTGAATCAAATCAACCATAGAAGTGTTGTTTTCTGACTGTGTCTTGACACATGGTTCAAAAGGACATGCTGTACCAATGCTTATTACATGGCAGCACCGTAGCAGAACATAAGCAATGGATGGATTAATACTTAATGATTTATTTGTTAGGTATCTTTCAGTGGTTTACTAAAGCTAAGTTGGGTACTTCTACAACTGCTAATCTCAGATAATCTGAGTACTAAAAGTCTCTAGTAACATTTGATGCTCTATGAGCAAAGATTCCTATTCTCCAACCTTCTTCTGCATATTGTCTTTAATCCATTAAAAAAAGGATATAGTTATCCAGAAAAGGAAAGTCAGTTGTGAGACTGCAAATTATAGTTAAAGTTGTAAGAATGTATAATTTTTTATGGAGGCAATTTTCTTAAGTGATTGGGTGGGCTCTAAAGTAGTGTGTGGGGCCATGGATTTGAAGGTTGATTGTATAATTGGTGCAAAGCCAGAATGTGTAATGTACTTGCTAAATAGGTGGACAACCATGTAACCTGTCAAAATCGATGCATAGCAAGAATGTCTAATGGGCAGTTGACGAAGTTGATGGACATCCAAGTCACTATTAATACAGAAACATGGTAAGGATGTGTAATTGCAGTAACTTTCAAGGAGTTACAAGGATGTTTTATTTGTAATGTCTCATAAGAAAATATTTAAAATATAAATCACTCAAAAAAAATAGTTAACATAGAAATATAAAGGAATTGTGCACTTGCTTACCTGAACATCATAGAACTTAATGTAGAACCGAGAGCTATCAATAGAGAGTTTAGTTTCAAGAATATCAGCAACTGCTGAACTCAGTTTTCCATTAACACTTGGGCCAAGTCCCCCAATGGATATTAATTCACCATATGCTGCTGGCTCTTCAGTGCCAGCAAATGCAATGGGTACTCCTCCGTTTATCAAGATCATCACATACTGGACAAATGTCAGTCAAAACAGATAAATAAATAAATACATGACTGCATTTGTGAAGTACTAAAAGGACCCAAAACCTATATCCAGAAAAATAAACCATCATCCTCTAAAAAAGAAAAGCAAGGACACCATTCCTTAATGGCTATATGCAAGTTGTTCCATAGACATCTAACGAATGTTGTTCTAATATTCCCTTCATCATTTTTAATCTATTTATTCATAAAGAATTATTTTGTTAAATGATTTATTGAGGTAGAATATACATTTAACTTAATAAATCCCCATTTAAACTAATGGGTTATGCTTGTAGCAATAATTTCCTACACTGTATCGTGGGGATAGATATATTAAACTGAGAAATTCATTTTCAGACTGTATTTTCTTCACATAGTTCTTTACACTTTCTTTTTTACTAGTGGAAGTGATATTTTTCTTCAAACCATGGTCAGCACTCAGCATAACTCTTAGCCAACTAAATAAAAAGCAGACAAGCATCCAGCTTTCTCTTTGTTTTTAAACAAAAGACTAAACAAAATTTGGACATAGAACATGTGAGTAGCTAACCAATAACAAAGGAAAATATCAAATCCAATGTCACTTCCATTCCACGTATAAATCTACCACCAGACATGAAATCAATTAGTGAAATGACAAAGAAACTAAAAACGAACAGAGAAAAACCATCTCTTTTTATTCTATTTTAACAAATTGTAGCTACATTTCCCAAAACAAATGGATTGAGTGAATAGAATGATTTAGCAAAACCTCAACTTCCCACAGAGCAAAATCATCAAACACATAACGCTCAAAAGCCAGAAGAACGACAACAGCTTTAACATCAGGTCATAAACAACAATGGAAAAGCAAATTCACCACACTAGAACAAAAGAGACTTGAGGTTCTTTTAAGTTACAGATTCAGGCTTCCCAATGATCTTTGCAACGGTCTTGGTTGCGTCCTTGAGGATGTCCGAAGCTACCACAGCATCTACTGGAACGTTAGTGACCAGATTTAAGGTAGGCATTATGTCTGTCGATCAACTCTCAGAAACCATGCAAAGTGGATGAGGGATAAGGAAAAAGAACAAGAAGGTTTTAGAAATTAGAACTCAAGAAACTGAAACTAATTTCTTGAAATTTACCTGTAAATCCTCATATCAGAAGCATGTGGACAGCATGGAAAGAACGAGAAATTCACAACTGAAATGACCATTGGACCCTCATGATCCGAGGGCCGTGATCACCTTCTCTGGCAGAAGCCGTTAAATTGGAACCTGCCGTTAAAGGAACGGCGAAATTACTAGAAAGGGTATGATCATATAAAACATTTTCATTTAGGGCCAGCCCTGAGGCTTTATACTAAAACCGGACCAGACCAGAACCGGAAACCAGGCACCAGCAGCTAAAACAGTTTTCTTGCGGCTTGTTCCAAGAAATGTTGACTTGGTCAAGTTTATGTATTAAAGTGTTTATAGGTGTTATATTTTATGGGTAGGGATCTGATACCAACAGAACGCTATTAACACTGTCCCAATAGCCCACTGCAGCCTCACATTGGGAACATCTCCCTTTTAAGATGTTCCCCATGTACGGCTGCAATGGTCCATTGGGACGCTATGGGCACTGTGAGTTGGTATGGGAGAAACATGTGAGTTGTGGGAGAAACATGTGACTAATTTCGTGGGATTCGGGTGATACGCATGTCAATACAAGGTGGGTTGTGTATAGGGGTGCAATTTGGGCAGGTTGGGTTGGGTTGGGTTTGAAGATCAACCGGCTTTATCTTAAGGGGGCATTCTTTTTCGGGATTTTGAGAGGGGGGAATGTTGGTCAATGGGATTTTGATTTCCATTGACCATGAAATTTTCTTTTTTCAGATTTATGTGGGGACCAGGGAAAATTTATTTTCTTAGGTATCACTTATCCGGGCAAGTGATACCCATCTCCTAGGTGGGTAAATAACTTTCCCACCTGGGGGAAAATTTGCCAACACTTGAATGGGACAAAAATACCCCTTTTAACAATAAATTTTTATGGCTAAAATGGTCATTGCCTTATTTACATGGTAAATAAAAGAACATGGGTAAATGCACTTACCCGGATAAGTCGTTCTTGGCAAACACTTACCCAGGTAAGTACATTTACCTGGGTAAGTAACTTACCGAAAAGCGAACGGGGCCTAAGAAATAAATTTTGGGCTTGGGCCTTGCTCAAGTAGGGTCCAACTTGAACTTAACCCAACACAACTTGAGATGTGTTCGAGTTCAGCCAAGACTAGGTGGGTTACCATCTTTATTCGGCTTCAAAGCCCAACTTGAAAATGAGTTAATTTAATAAAGTTAGTTAAATAATTTACTTTAGGGTCTAAATAAATGATCCTAAAGTATAATTAAGTTTTAATTTACTTAATTAACAAATAAAGTAAATAAATTAATTACAGTTTAGGGGTTGTTAGAGCCAAATTTAATTAATTAAATTAAATAAATTATACTAAGTAAGTTAATCAATTAAATTAGTAAATTAAATAAACAAAGGTAATGAAGTTTCTTGAAAACAAAATATAAAAAATAATTTAAAAAAACGTGACATTGTGAGAAACAAAAAAAATCAGGGGTTGTCGAAGCCAAATTTAATTAATTAAAGTAAACAAATTATACTAATTAAGATAATTAAGTAAATTAAGCAATTAAATCAGTAAATTATATTAATTAAGGAAACAAAGTTAATTAACTATAATATAATTAAAAAGAAATATAAAAATAATTCAAAAACATGACATTTAAAAAAAAACAAAAAAATTAGGGGTTGTTAAAGTCACACTTAATTGATAAAATTAAATAAACTCTACTAATTAAGATAATTAAGTAAATTAAGCAATTGAATCAATAAATTAAATAAATTAAGGAAATAAATTTAATTAAAAATAAAATATAAAAAATAATTCAAAAAACATGACATCTTAAAAAATAAAAAATTTAGGGGTTATTTACAGCCAAATTTAATTAAATAAATTATACTAATGAAGATAATTAAGTAAATAAAGCAATTAAATCAAAAAATTAAATTAATTAAGGAAACAAAGTTAATTAAAAATAAAATATAAAAATAATTTGAAAAACATGACATCTTAGAAAATAAAAAAATTTAGGGGTTATTAGATCTAAACTTAATTAATTAAATTAAATGAGTTATACTAATTAAGATAATTAAGTAAATTAAGCAATAAAATCAGTAAATTAAATTAATTAAGTGAAAATATTTAATTAAAATAAATATAACTAAATTTAAATTTAAAAAATAATTTTAAAACTATGGAATTTTAAAAAATAAAAAAATAGGGGTTGTTAAAACTAAATTTAATTAATTAAATGAAATAAATTATACTAATTAAGATAATTAAGTAAATTAAACAATTAAATAAGTAAATTAAATTTATTAAGGAAACAAACTTAATTAAAATAAAATATAAAAATTAGAAAATAATGATATTTTAAAAAATAAAAAAATATATAATTACAATAAAAAATAATTACAAACCATTTACTAGATTGAACAATTTAGCAGTTCAATTGTCTGAGACAGTGGTTGTTAACCAAGTCAATATTTTTTTTGAAAAGTTCTGAACCAAGTATAAAATGGATTTAGATAATTGGCTAATATTTTTTTTGAAAAGTTTTGAACCAAGTATAAAATGGTTCGATCGCTTGGGTATAAAATGGAACTAGACAATTAACCAATTCTTAGGTTGAAGAGTTTGATCACCTTGAATTTTTTACTTGTTAACAACCTATTGACCAAATGGTTGAACCGGTAAACTGTTCAATCTGATAAATGCTTTTCAAGTCATTTTTATTTTTCAAAACATCATGGATTGATGCATTCTAACCAAACAATTGAATTGTTAAATATCATGGTTTGGGGATCATTTTTTATTTGATTACCTTTATCTAATTAATTTTATTTATTGATTAATTGATTAATTTACTTAATTATCTAAATAGTAAAATTTATTTAATTTAGTTAAATACTTTAGGGTCATTTAATTTATTTTAAGGCCACTTTAGGATCAAAAGTGGCCTTTTTCAAACTTTACTAGTGTCATGTAATGTTGTCTAACGGATCGTCAATGTGGTTTAAAGCACTATCTATTTTTGCATACAATTAACCTTTTTCCTAAGTCTAGGGTCAAAAATGACCCTTTAAATTCTTTAGGGTTGACATTGCCATTTTTTCAAAGTTCAGAGTTTGTCACATCCAAAAATCCCATTAACAAATTGAAAAAAGAGTATCAACCAATCAATATGCACAAAATCCAATTTTTTGGTATCATGTGAGAATTTTTCATAAAATGAAGTTTAGGTATGCTATAAAATGACCCCCCAGCTCATCATCCAAACCTAGAACAACCATAACCCATGTGAAGGTGGATTCAATCCTAAACCTCTGATACAACTAGCGAAAGGTAGGGATGTCAATGGACCGCGTTAAATGGTAAATTTGGTTTGATATGACCCTACAGGGTTTGGTTAGGTTCAACCTTACTTTTTTTTTTGAAAGATAAAAATAATATATTAACTAATAGAACAAAATACATAGTTCTTTACATCTGCAATATCTAAAGGATAATCATCTAACAAAAAATGATCCTGCATAATATGTTTGCTCCATTGTGCAACCTGATGAGCAGGAACATTAAACCTCCTACTTATAACCATCGGATAATGATCTAACAAATTCCCTAATGTATGGAAAAAAGCTCATCTTCCTCCACAGACTTTAGGTGCTTTCTTCCACTTGTGACTTGAAGATAATATAGATGATTGGATAAGATAATGATACCATAACTAAAAAGGGAATGGTTAACTTTGCCTGCATCTATAAATATAATATAATCAGTATTTGTGTTTAAATTGATGCACAATTGTGGAGGAACTTCCTGTGCTATACCTGAATGAATCTGTGGAACATGAATATGATCAAAAATAGTATTGATTTTCCTGAGAACCCAAAAATTTGATACAACTGTTTCTTTAAAACATTTCTCATTACGTGCAAACCAGATATAGTATAAAGTTGTAGCATACCAAGTAAGTACTTTCATTAGCATAGGTTTTTTAGGAAAAAGATTTGCTAGTTCATTAATACAATTGAGCCAAGAGGATTGTAAAATATTATTTATGTTGATGTTCCAAGGGTATGCAAATAAGATAGATTGGGTGAATGAGCACTCCATAAAAAGATGATTTATGGTTTCTATACTATTATGACAAAAGACACATTTTGATCTTGATCAACAGGCAAAATTTTTCCTTTGACAGGGATGAATTCTTGAATAACTCACTAGAGAAATAATTGGTAACGAGGAGGTATCTAAAGATGCCAAATCCATTTCAAACATAAATTTAATTGTTCAGACAAACTGTGTATATATGGCTTAATTAGGTCTTTATATGCTACTGAAGACAAAAATTTTCTTGAAGAGTGTTTGGTCTGGATCCAAGAAACAAGAGAGTTTGCTAGAAGAATAGGTGTTTATAGGATCTGAGAGATCTGACTCCTATCGAAGTAAGGTCTAAGAGTAGACATATTCCAAGTTCCATTACTAATGAGATCTGCAAAAGAAAGATTTCTTATGTTAGGTAGAGTTGGTTGATTTATTATTTAGAAAGTTTCATTATTATCCAAGAAAGGTGGTCAATTTTGCAAGTAGAAGATTCCGATACCAAATAACCAACTTCATGAAGGAGAAATTAAAGTTTTGGTGTAGTAGATTTCCAAAAGAAATAACTTGATCGGGGGATTGAATAAGAGAATATTGTGTTAGCTGGAAAATATTTCGATTTCCAAAGCCGGGCCCATAATTTATGTTGTTCATTAAGATATCTCCAAGCTAATTTTTTAAGCAAGACTTGATTCACCAGTTTGATATCTCTAAAACCTAAATCTCTAGATGATCGAGATATAGCAAATTTATTCCATGAGCACCATCAATAAGGGTAGGAATTAGGATCGGATTTAGCCCACCAAAAATTCTTAATAATTTGATCCATAGCATTAAGAGTTTTTTGAAGAAGTTGGGCTACACATCGTGTGAGTAGGAATGGCTTAAAGAACAAACTGGATGAGGATTCTTTTCCTAGCTTGACTTAA